TAGCCAAACAGCAACCCATAAGGCGGGTTGTTGTGCTCGGGTAGGAGGTTCCAAGCTCCGCCCCCACAAGATGGTATGGGGTGCATAATAAATGGCATATCATTGGTAGAAACTCTGTGTTGACATTCGCACAACAGCCAATCACAGGAAGGGATCAGCTAAAGGCTCCATCCACTTAATAAATCATCTTTATTCAGCACACCATCCCTGCTTATGATATTCTGTTTCAACTTTAGGTCAACAGTGGCCATAAGATACAGCTTACGCCATCTGTTGACATCAAATTACACTTATAACAAATTACCCCACAAAATACAACTAGCGCCATCTCTTTTTTTTCCAACGCACTATAAATAGCCAAACAGCAACCCATAAGGCGGGTTGTTGTGCTCGGGTAGGAGGTTCCAAGCTCCGCCCCCACAAGATGGTATGGGGTGCATAATAAATGGCATATCATTGGTAGAAACTCTGTGTTGACATTCGCACAACAGCCAATCACAGGAAGGGATCAGCTAAAGGCTCCATCCACTTAATAAATCATCTTTATTCAGCACACCATCCCTGCTTATGATATTCTGTTTCAACTTTAATCGACCTAAAAAGTGAAATATTAAGTATTTAAAAGTATTAATATAGTGATAATTAAATACTGCAGGATGTAACGAGTGTTACAGAAACATGGGCTGGCTACGTGACTTGTGACGTCATCAGTGGAGGTTGCCTCACGCAAATAATATCGGCGATACAATGCCTCCGTCCTCTTATTGGTCTACATTATTCAGTTAGATGGACATTTCTGTCTTGTATAAAACAAAAATTGTTGTTCTTCTGTACAACAACAACAAGGTTATTGAGCAAAAGGACGTATTTCTTATTTTACATTTTATTCATATTAGCGTTGGCATTCCCCGCAACAGCCAATCACAGGAAGGTATTTGTTGGACGGTCTGCCTTCAACAAAATTGATTCCTAATGAACTCTAACAATAAATTCGTTTAATAAACGAGTATTTAGGGTCAAGCTACAGATGAACATTATAGGATAACGGCGTTTTAGCTTGCAGCTTCGTTAAACAGAATCCCTGGTGTTAACTTAATAAATAAATAACTAGAAAGCGTATTTTATTGCTAACTTTTCGAGAAATAAATCCCACTAGTCTCATATTTGCGAACATTTATGCATATAATTTTTTGGTTTAAGTTCTTATCATAATCCCTTTCGCAATCTCAAAACCATCTTATCTTGTACCTATGTTCGTTACTTAGCCTCAAAACCTTACATTTATCTTACATATCCTCAACAGTAGATAAAAAAAAGTAATTGCAGAATTCTAGTTACCTAATACCAGCATGGTATAATACCTTATTATAAGCTACCAGACGTGTAGATCAGTGTTTAAAGTAATAATAATACATTATTATTAATGTAATAATATTATTAAAATAATAATAACACAGCTGATGCCATCTGTTGGCAGATAAGAACACTATCAACTGGCTGGTCAACAGTAGCCATAAGATACAGCTTACGCCATCTGTTGACATCAAATTACACTTATAACAAATTACCCCACAAAATACAACTAGCGCCATCTCTTTTTTTTCCAACGCACTATAAATAGCCAAACAGCAACCCATAAGGCGGGTTGTTGTGCTCGGGTAGGAGGTTCCAAGCTCCGCCCCACAAGATGGTATGCGTGCATAATAAATGGCATATCATTGGTAGAAACTCTGTGTTGACATTCACCACAGCCAATCACAGGAAGGGATCAGCTAAAGGCTCCATCCACTTAATAAATCATCATTATTCAGCACACCATCCTTGCTTATGATATTCTGTTTCAACTTTAATCGACCTAAAAAGTGAAATATTAAGTATTTAAAAGTATTAATATAGTGATAATTAAATACTGCAGGATGTAACGGGTGTTACAGAAACATGGGCTGGCTACGTGACTTGTGACGTCATCAGTGGAGGTTGCCTCACGCAAATAATATCGGCGATACAATGCCTCCGCCCTCTTATTGGTCTACATTATTCAGTTAGATGGACATTTCTGTCTTGTATAAAACAAAAATTGTTGTTCTTCTGTACAACAACAACAAGGTTATTGAGCAAAAGGACGTATTTCTTATTTTACATTTTATTCATATTAGCGTTGGCATTCCCCGCAACAGCCAATCACAGGAAGGTATTTGTTGGACGCTCTGCCTTCAACAAAATTGATTCCTAATGAACTCTAACAATAAATTCGTTTAATAAACGAGTATTTAGGGTCAAGCTACAGATGAACATTATAGGATAACGGCGTTTTAGCTTGCAGCTTCGTTAAACAGAATCCCTGGTGTTAACTTAATAAATAAATAACTAGAAAGCGTATTTTATTGCTAACTTTTCGAGAAATAAATCCCACTAGTCTCATATTTGCGAACATTTATGCATATAATTTTTTGGTTTAAGTTCTTATCATAATCCCTTTCGCAATCTCAAAACCATCGTATCTTGTACCTATGTTCGTTACTTAGCCTCAAAACCTTACATTTATCTTACATATCCTCAACAGTAGATAAAAAAAAGTAATTGCAGAATTCTAGTTACCTAATACCAGCATGGTATAATACCTTATTATAAGCTACCAGACGTGTAGATCAGTGTTTAAAGTAATAATAATACATTATTATTAATGTAATAATATTATTAAAATAATAATAACACAGCTGATGCCATCTGTTGGCAGATAAGAACACTATCAACTGGCTGGTCAACAGTAGCCATAAGATACAGCTTACGCCATCTGTTGACATCAAATTACACTTATAACAAATTACCCCACAAAATACAACTAGCGCCATCTCTTTTTTTTCCAACGCACTATAAATAGCCAAACAGCAACCCATAAGGCGGGTTGTTGTGCTCGGGTAGGAGGTTCCAAGCTCCGCTTCACAAGATGGTATGGGGTGCATAATAAATAGCATATCATTGGTAGAAACTCTGTGTTGACATTCACACAACAGCCAATCACAGGAAATTGAAATTGAAATTGAAATAAGTTTATTGAGGTAAAATACACACAAAGGGATGAGGTAGCTCAAGCTATTCTCACCCCGTTCAGTACAACGTGTTAGTACATACATAGACACACATCACAAACAATAAACCTGTTACCAAACATTCTGAGAGATAAACATGTACATTTCCTCCTTCACAAGTAGTATGGTATCAGACGTACACAAATACTTTTATGACCTAGTTATACGGATAATTCAACAAAATATTAGTCTTGGTGCAAAATTCTTATCTCTCAAGAATATCATCAACCTTTCCTTTGTGACACATCCAGGCTATTTGCTCAGGAACAGTCCTTATCTCAGTGTTTCTATATACATTAATCAACGGACAATCAAGAACATAATGGGCAAGGGTGTGAGACCTTAACATACCACATAGTTTACACTTCGTGTCATTATCATGAACACCTATCCCATATTCCCAGTCACCTCCAAGCATTTCTCCTTTTACCATAAGTGAAATGGGTGTTTTGACTCACATACATCACAGGAAGGGATCAGCTAAAGGCTCCACTCACTTAATAAATCATATTTATTTAGCACACCATCCCTGCTTATGACATTCTGCTTCATCTTTATTTTACCTATAAGGTAAAGTATTATTTATTTAAAAGTGTTAATAAAGTGCTAATTAAATATTGCAGGATATAATAAGTGTTATCGACAAACCGCCTGGCTACCTAGCTTGTGACGTCATCAGTGGGGAATTGCTTGGAAACAAATAACAGATGATAATTAACTCTGCCCTCTTTATTGGACTAAATACTTCAGTTTGATGGAAATTTCTGTCAGGTACAAAACAAAGAGGTTAATTGTTGCGCAAAAGGACGTGTTTTTTTCTGTTTAGTTTGAATTTAATTCATAGAAAGAATGTTGGCATTCCCCTGCAACAGCCAATCAGAGGAAGGTATTTGCTAAAGCCCCGCCTCCTTATTGACGACATTTGGAACGTTGAGTTCGCCGATGTAGCCTATGGCTTTCTGTTTCATCTCTTGTATATGATAAATTTGAATTTTTCGAATATTTCAAAATATGAGATAATGAATACATTCTTCTTTTAAATGGTCTTTCTTGTCTTGCATATACACAAGTGTACATCAATTATATATATATAGTTGTCTACCTAGTATCCTAATATCTATCAATAGATAAACCCATACTAGAAATGGTATCTGACAGAACACCAGGTTATGACATTCTGTTTCAGCTCCGGTGCTTCGCGAGAGCTTTACCTGGGGTTTGTAATTAGTTCAATTGAATTAGTTCAATTCAGAATAGTTCAATTATTATGAACACAGCATACCCGTCCTTGGAGTGGTCGCGGAAATGGTAAGCATACACAAATGGACTCAAGAATTGAATCCAAAATTTGTTTAGCAAATTTTGGGATTAGCAAAAATATATTGCAAGGTGCAGCAGTAATAAGTTAGTTACCCACGGAAGAGATAAGACGTAAGTGTTCCATTCTCTCAGAAATCATGGGTCTTGTTCAGGTTATAAACTCATAGAACCGCCTACCCGCCGAAGCCGTAACTGCCAAAACTGTCTTCCCCCCCCCCCCCTCTCTCTCTCTCTCTCATTAATGATACCACGGGTCTCAACATACCTTGCAGCCATATACACCCGCTCCCAAGCACAACTGCCACCACACGAGAAACAACTGCACATCAGCTATTATACACCTGACCGCCATACGGCTGACCAGGACACACCTGTAAACATCCCTTATAGTTGCCAATACACACCTGTAAACATGCACCTAACCGTAAAACACCTGTCACAATACACATGACAAACACGTCTTGTGCAGTACATTCCACCACACACACACACCTGTCACCAGACCCATCATAACCAGCCACCACACTCGAGTTCTCATTCCCACCCAAACTCCACACACCTGACCAAGACACATACATGTTCACCACATACCTGGCTCGTCCATAGCGAGGGGGGATGAAAACTGGTGATCGTTAGGGGTGTGGGGGAGCCACAGCGCAGATAATGAGTCTGGAAATCCAAATAAGGTATTTAAGAGTAATTACAAAGTCTTTTCCAACTGATTGTTACACACACACACACACACACACACACACACACTGTAACACACACACACACCCACACACACGGTACACATACACACACACAGACACACACACACACACACACCTTCGCACACACACACACACACACACACACACACACACACACACACACACACACACACACACGCACACACACACACAGCTAGTGTGTGTGCACACTCCTGCACAGTTAGGCAGGAGTAACTGATAAGGTGCTCCAGTGGATAAGGGAGTACCTAAGCAATAGGAAGCAGAGAGTTACAGTGAGGGGTGAGACCTCAGATTGGCGTGAAGTCACCAGTGGAGTCCCACAGAGCTCTGTACTCGGACCTATCCTGTTTCTGATATACGTAAATGATCTCCCGCAGGGTATAGACTCATTCCTCTCAATGCTTGCTGACGAAGTCAAAATTATGAGATGGATTAAACACTTTCACGCGCCGGGGTCGTACCTAAACGACGCGCATTTTTACCTGGAGTTGCAGGTGCGTCGTAAATTTACGCGCGATTAAAAAATATTTGTATAAAATCCAATTCTTATTCGATCGACTTGGGGATAGTATGAAAATGTTTGCCATTAAATTTCCGTTTTCTCTAATAGGCACATGGCATATTTGGGAGAACGGCATTGTATTGTAACTTAGTGGAAAGACTATTGTATTGTTGACACGGCGAGTGTAATCGCCCACTTCACACACTCTTGGTGTAAACCGCGATCATGATTCTACATTTATATGCATATGTCCGTGTAGGAAATTTAATTTCGATCACAGTGATACCAAATTTAACGCTGTAGGACAAGTGTGGAGTTGACAACCCTGAAAAGAATAGAAACATTTCGTCGCTGTTTGCAGCTCACGGCTAGTGATCGATGTACTTCTTTAGCTTTTCGTGTGATTTAACTCATGCTTTGGTGACATATACATATGTTCTTATAGATCGTTCAATTGCGAACACATTGGTACAAAAATGAAATCTGTACATTGAAAATTAAGGTCAGGACAGCGAAAAGAGTATACACTTTTCAGTGTTGCCGCTCGTGCACCCGAAAACGTCGATTTCACTTCCAGGATCGTCCAGTCCATTTCGCCGAGGGCGTGAAAGTGATAATTATTTAAATTAAGACAGAGGACGACTGCTTGAGGTTTCAAGAAGACCTGGACAAACTGAATTAAGGAGTTAGTTTAGTTCATTTATTATGCTGAAGGAATGGTCGAACAAATGGTTGTTAGAGTTTAACCAAAGAACATGTAATGTAATGAAGATATGTGTAGGGAGCAGGAGGCCAGATACAAGGTATCATTTGGGAGATGAAATTCTTCAAGAGTCAGAGAGAGAGAGAAAGACCTGGGGGTTGACATCACGCCAGACCTGTCCCCTGCAGCCCATATCAAGAGGGTAACATCAGCAGCAAATTGGCCAACATAAGAACGGCATTTAGAAACTTTTGCAAGGAATCATTCAGAACTTTGTATACCACATATGGAAGTGATGTGGTGGAGGCTGACTCCATACACAGTTTCAAGTGTAGGTATGATAGAGCCCAATAGGCTCAGGAACCTGTACACCAGTTGATTGACAGTTGAGAAGCGGGACCAAAAAGCCAGAACTCAACCCCCTCAAGCATAAATAGGTGAGTACACACACACACACACACACAATAATCATTGCTAAAGACACTAAGGGGTTCCACTACAAGAAGTTTTTAATACGTATCAGAATATTTCCGCCAACCTCAAGTTTCCAAGTTTCTGAAATTCGCTCATCAAAACTTTTCACCAAACCCCCTTTAAGTATCACTTAAAATTGTATAAGTGAAAAAAAATTGTTGCATTTCATTTATAATGCAACGTTCCTTCTCGTTTAGCACTGTTACCCTATTAATGAACAATAGCATGTTCCAATATACGTTGTATACATAAACATAATAATAATAATAATAATGTTTACATTCCTGCCAAGCCTAGCGCATAGCTAGGCATAGCAGCGCATAGGTTCCTGTATGCACAGCGTTTCGGGTAATTATTATAAGAAGGGACTTAATGTTTGGACTGAGAGTACTCACCCAGCTGAAGATGGCTGAGGCCAGGAGGAGAGATTCTGACTGACCTTCCCACACCCCCACACTTGGAGACTGGGCTGCAACCCCAACTGATTTGATCAACTCTTAATTTGTCACAATCAGCGATACTTGGCAGTTGCCATTACCACGTGTCTGTAGCGAGTAGATTATGCCAATAATATATCCACTCCAAACTCATTAGCATCAACTGAAATCTTTTCCATAATTACAGTTAATATTCCTTCCATCTTCATCGTGAGGTGTGTTCCGGTAGACATAGCACCGCTCCTGTGCCAGGTAAGTTCACTACGGGCTCACCGTAGCCAGTGCTATACTTGCCCCGCTCCTGTGCCAGGTAAGCTACGGGCTTACTATAGCTCGTGCAACTTGGAACTTGTTCCGAGTAGCTGAATCTATAATAACAACATGTGTTCCTGTCATATAAGCAATTGAGAAGCGAGTAATGATTTTACGGGCTATTCATGCCCGTGCCACCTTTTGGGTGGCTTAATCTTTATCAATCAATCAATCGAGTAATGATCAGTCTATTTTCAAGAGTGGTTTAGAACAGACGCTTGAAAGTAGTTTGGAGTTTGCTACAAATTAATGAGTTTGGAGCGAGTATATTATTGGCATAATCTACTCGCTACATGTCTCTACTGCTCTTCTCCTTCATAAGTCCTCGCGATATCTGACATAATCAAAGTCTCCGAGATGTTATGATGTATATTGAATCAGTAAATAGTATCGTTGAGATGGTATCACCGTATGATTGCCTGCGGCCAATTATATGTTGAAGATTGCAGCTGCCGAGGCTTCAAATTATACCTTAATGTCTACTGTTGCCCCCTGTCAATCATTATACACTCACATCCATACTTTGAATGGCTGTGGAATAGTTTACAGAGGCAAATAATGGGCTCAAGAACTGAACCCCAAAATTCGTTGAGCTAATATTAAGTTACAGTTTACTGAGCTAGTTACAGTTAACATGTAAATCAAGTCTATTCGCAGTTCTTCAAACTAACATCATCATGAGGCTAAAATTACCTAAACACAACGAGTGATAGATTTAGTTTAATTATTGTATTATATGCTCCCCCATACCCACCATGTGGGTGAGTGGCAGAAAGATTTCAATGTCACATTATGGGTTCAAAACTTCAAGTACTTAAAGTTAAGGAAGCAAGAGCAAACATATGTAGCTAATCACTTGACTGTATTTACCAGGTAATTAATCGATCCTCAGCCATGACTGGCCATACATGGCGATCCTTATAATCCATGTATATGGCGTCTGCATCCACTGCCAATTACTCGTTCCCAATACTTGAAAACACTGTTTACACCCTCTAACTTCTATGGGCATTTAACCTCAATATCTTTCTTCTCATTATTATATTTGTACTCAGTAGTTATATATAGCTATAAATTATCAACTTCATTGATAGGAATCAGATATGCTCTTTTTCAAGGCAATAACACTTCACAATATCAGGAAAATGTTAAAAGCTCTTGGCAGCGTTGGTGAGGACAATACCACGCGATAATTTTATTGACAATAACAGCCTCATAAAACCAATATAGCGATTTCATCAACAATTGAGAAGCCTCGTTTGAGCAAAACAGTATCCACAATAAAGTTTAATGAGTTGCCTGAAACGCTGCGCGTACTAGTGGCTTTACAAGAATGTAATTACTATGCTATGTATCCTCACAATCCCAATGTACCTTCTTGTATATATATACAGTAAATAAATAAATAAATAAATAATTGTTAAATATGTCAGAATGTGCTACACAAGAATCATCAACATGAGGGAGGAGCTGAAATGCCCAACCATATGTGAAAAGAATTGAGCAGCTCAATACTACCTTCTTTGTAAGGGTGATGAGAGATCCAACATCTCCTTACTAAGAGAAAAACTGACTAGTTCTGTTTGTAGGTGGGAGAGTGTTGCCAGCACACCAGCGGGCAACCTATTTGCAAGCTGGTTCAGTAGAAGTACACCCTGTATTGCCAATCTCATTAAACTAAATATTCCTATTGCATGCAATGTACTTGCCAGTGATATTCCATTATATCTGTACCCTGAAATGCAAGTGTCTTACATGCCCATCAGCAAAAAGAACAAGGAAAACCCAATATTCTTGAAAGCAACATTTGAAACTATTGATTCCTTCATAAATAGTTTACAGGGCTCACAAGCACTATGCTTATGCTGATGGGTGTGTTCAAATGTCAACAGGTCGCACTGCAGCAGCCTGTAGAATATACAAAGACAACATATGCACACAGATCACAAGTGTGAGACTGAATAACTGGCTTAGCTCCACACATGCAGAATTAGCTGCACCTCAACTTGCCAATAATGCACTGAAGAACAGTGGAGTAATAATTTTCTGTGATTCAAAGTCAGCTCTTCAGGCCCTTAAAAACTCAATATGCAAAATAGATTCTAGGAATTTTGTAGCATCCATTATTAACAACATTATTAATGCAAAGAGCAAGAGTTTAAGAGTCTCATTTGTATGGATACAATCTCACATAGGGGTTATCCAGCATGACGACACAGGCAAGGCAGCTAAAACTGCATGTGATAAGCTTGAAATTGTGTTGGATATGGACATTCCAATCTCTGCTGTAAAAGGCACAATATTTCAGTTAATTAGGTTAAACAGAAGAGCAGTCACTGATACACAAAGGCCAGAAAGCACGAGTATAGAGAGCAATGACATGTTAAGAACCAAGAATTGTATGTACGGCAGCATAAAACATCCACTAGACAGTGTGACATTGTAATTGCCAGAATTAGGCTAGGATATTGATATCTATTGCAGGTGGCTGCAGGTAATGAATCCCCCAATGGTGAACATTCCAATTGTAAACTATGTGAACAAGTTTTGTTTTTTTATTAACAGATTTAGGTACATTTACATATGTGCAGCTACTCTAGACTATATGAAGGGGAGTACAGCGTGTCAAAAAACTAGCTACATGATGCTTAAAATCCCCATCACACAGGATGGTTAGTCATACAAAGGCATGTGATACATATTGTAGTCTGCACTGGCAAATTCTGGGTGCATCATGAAGATATCATGAACACTAGAGTGAATAAGGTAGCAGTGATACTGAAAGTCCCCATCTCACAGGATGGTTAGTCATACAGGGCCATGCATTCAGTAACCTGCACTGCCAAATTTTGGGTGCAATATGAGGATATCCTCAAGAACATGAGAGTGAATAAAGTAGTTGCAAAGCTCCAGGACCTCATGCCAAGGAGTCTGAATGGTCTGATAACTGGGCATTCGGTGATGTAGTGGGAGATCATGTCCCAGTTCCTGCTCACAAAGTTTGCCCTTTGAATGCTCAGGATTGGGAAGACTCATCAGGCCTCTAGTGTGTTCTGTCATTTGGCAGCTTCATCTCTCATTAAGAACTTGACTTCAGCAGGCTAGCCAATTACATGCATGTGCGTAGTTCACCCTCGAGGTGCATAAAGCTTCAGTATTTGAATTGGCTTCACCTGCTTGCTTGATGCCGGTGTGGAAACCTAGGATGTATTGTATGCCTGCAAAGGTGGCTGCTTTGTGGATTCCCTTTCACTTTTTTTTAGGGTTTAGTTAAGAGTGTACCTTGGAAATATAGCTTTGAATGGACATGAGAAAGTACCTTTCTGAACATGAGCCAGTTTTCTCCCTCTTTACCCCTTTTGTTTGCTGCCTTTTCAGTCCCATTACAAAGAATAGGAGAATTCAGATGCCCAGGGCCAGTGTTGTGGGTGAGCTGCTGCCATCTTTAAAGAATTAGGTGCACTAAGTTGTTGGTAAGCAGTTGACTAAGAGGCTATGTTTGATGCAAAGAGAATTCTTGCACAGTCTTTAGTCTACATGAAATGTACCTTCTATCAGTCATTTCTGGCAGGATTGAGCTCATGCCCAACGATTGTCTAGCATATTTAATGACTTTGTAAAAAGACTATTTGCAAAATTAATTGTGGCAAAATTAATTTGTTTCTGCAACTCCAATATTTATCTAAATTGGGATAATATATGCAATGTAGGTGGTAATATAAATATTTTTAACTATGATCTCTTAACCATTTTAAAGTGACTAGGATGTAATACTGTAATAGTCAGCACTGGTGATGTAAATATAGACCTCGGTGGCAGTGTTAGTGGTGAAAAGCACTAAGCTCTTCGTCAAAACAGATGTCAACAACACTTAAATATAAAATGTAGGGAATACCTTGATGGTATGCTACCAAAATATACTGTGCAGTTTTCATTGTACACTAATTTAGTTATGCTGGCTTAACACTTGTAAAATTTCAAGTACACTAAGATGTAACACTTTATGACTGTTATGACTAATTAATCATTACAAAATATAGTTATCTTTTTTTTCACAAAATCCTTTTTTTTTTATATTCTGTATTTCATGTATAAGCAAACTGGTATTAAAAAGAAATAAATGGCAAATCCTCTTTTCCAACTGGCGCAGTTTACATCCACCAGTTTGTGCGGGTAAGTTTATGCACGTTACATTAACATAAAATTCTATATTGGGATGGGAGGGGAGGGAAGTGATAATGATTGTAAGAAAATGTCCACAGTTGATGAATGGATAATAAATTTCCAATAGATGGGTAAAAGGCAGACAAGATTAGAGGTGTACCCCAACCCCCTCGAGCCATTAGAGTAAGAAAATAATGTATAGTAAGAAAGATTTAATGGAGTTGGAGAAAATGACAAGTTGGGCAGCCCACAATAAACCATTATTCAATGCATACAATATTTTATTTACAAATATACTAATGAAATATCACAACCTGTACATAGGTTAAAACTTAAAAAATTTTTGCTTCTATAAAGTCCAACCACTTAGGCACCACGGTAGAGCAACTGTCTCGTGTCATGCAGGTCGGTGTACTGCTCCAGAGATTAACGTAATGTATGCATAGTACATTACTTGTTAAAAATACATTACTGTGTTTGTTAAAATTGCAGGAATGAAAGACCAATCACAACTGCATTTACAAATCTTGTTTCATTCTCACTACACTACATTCTCTTCTCATTCTCACTTACACTAAAAAATATTACTTTCCTTCACCACTTTACTGCCCTTAAGCAAAAAATAATAAATAATTTACAAACACACAACAGTAGTGTTTGATTAACCAAATAAATTAACCAAACTAATTTTGGTTACGTATAAAGATTGCGGCATATTAATTATATTAATGGTAGTATTGGGCTTGGAAATGATAAATTTTTTGGTTAATCAAATTGAAAAAGCTTTAATTAACAGCAAAAAAAATATTAAATGGAAAATTTCACATTTAGACGTCAGATTTATCAGTAATATTTATTTTGTTTATATCACAGCTAACTGGTGTGGAGATTGCTTTTCTTTTGCTGCAACTTGTTCTGGAATCGGAGAATCAACATTGCGGTCAATGTTCGATCTAGAATAATCCTCTTGTACAAGGAGAACAGGAATTATTGACAGAGAACCGGAACTCAGGAGAACATAGGTCACCCACTTATAGCCTGGGGAAAAAGACATGAAAGGAGGTGTAATAAATACATGGATGTTATATGGTACAGACCACACTACATCCTATATTCTTATACATATAATGGTGCTAATGTTTTGTAATTGCTTACTATACTGTATATGATGTTATTAAATTGCAATTTGAGTGTTTCCTGCCAGTACTTGAATCCATTCCTGGATGATATTTTGTACACAATGCCAGCACAGAAGTGGACTGTTTGGGCTACACTTGAGTGCCAGGAACAGATTTATGTATTATTAACCAAAACACAGCACTTGATCACTGTTTTGTCAAGTGTGTGGAATATCTATTTGAGTACACTAAAGAGAACCCCCCAAACATAAAAACTGAAAAAGTTCAAGTTCAAGAGCGAAGACTTGAACATGATTCCTCGCTCTTACAGTTTGTTAGCAAATTGTGCATTTCATGTCGATAGATCCAGTCACTCTCTCACTCGGCTCCCTCCTACTGTCCATGAAACCAGAAGAGTTGGTAGTTTTGTCCCATAATTTTTGCATGCAAATGTATGTTCTATGATAACATTTTGCATGCAAGCTAGGTGACAATTTTAATGACTGCTCTTTGAGAGTCAAGTCATTGAAAAAGAAGTGGTTGTGATTGCATAGCTTGCATATGCAAAGAGAAACCATTTCTAATTGATTAAATGCTGCTTAATCTCAATTTTTTAAATAACACTAGTTTAACTTGATGATTCTCAATAGGTAAAAAAAAATAATTGTGCAATTTACCAACCTATCAAGACTTTCTAGTATGCAAGAAAAACTTTTTCCACCCGTTTAGGCTCCCTCTTGATCTCTTATTAATGGTGTGTGTGTGTTGCATTATGTAGCCCTGACCTGTTGTTTGTGTGGACTACATACAGTACTCGTCAAAAGTATGAGCTGCCTTGCTTGAGGCAGCACATACTTATGACAAAAAAAAAAAAAAATATCAGTCTTGTGTGTGAGATGTTTGAGAGAGAAGTATGCATCGGGTACACACACAATGTGCGGGTATCTGCTAGCTGCCTGGAGCTGCACATTTGGGAGGCTTAGTTGGCCCCGGGCATTCATAGTGAGCAGTTGTGTTGCATGTCTTGCTCTGGCACCTTGCGGTGTTTTATCCCAGTTAACAGTGGTGTTGGTGTCGTATTGTCCTTATGGCCAAGGAAGTAAGCAAAGAAACCATTGTTCAGATTATTGCTTTAAAGAACATGTGCCACCAATTGAAGGAAATAAGTTTACTGGTCGGTGTGGCTAAGTTGACAGACGTAAGTATCGTGCCCGTTTCAAAGGTCATTCCTGGAAGACTTCATCTGAGGGAATTCTAATGCTCTAAATGTTCCAATGAATGTTTAGAGACCTTGAAGTGTTCCTGGGATGACTTTTGAAATGGGTATAATCTGTCAACTTAGCCACACCGACCAGCAAACTTATTTCTTTCATTTGGTGGCACATGTCCTTTAAAGCAATAATCTGAACAATGGTTTCTTTGCCTACTTCTTTGGCAAGTGCCATAAGAACAATATAATACCAACACACTCCAATACATGTTGGAGAACTACTGAACCATTAGCCAGAGTGCACGGGGGACAATGTCTAAAACCCTTATTGGACTTCAGTTGAAAGCCTCAGGAATCCTAGAGGATTCAGTGGAATTCCAGGTAGCATTGCTCTTACCATGTCATGGCATGGTGGTCTAGGATGCTATCTTGGGAGTACTGTACAAAGTAAGCAGGTGTGAATCCTCCTCATGGCCCCCTACTGATTTTCTAATATTCCGAGTATCAAAATCATTTCCTGTGATACAAAAATGACTTACAGTACTTAGGTCCTTACCTATGTCAGGAATTAGAAAGACGAAGAGGAATATCAGCCCAATAAAGTTCATGAGACCGGTGAGTAGGCCAGCAACAATAACCTCAGGGCAGGGATAGGCTCGCTCCACAGCCAACTCGAAGAATAGTGGAGCATTGGCAAAATTGGATGCCAGGCCAATCACCACCGAACAAAATATCTGCCCTGAAAAAAAAGTGAAGGCTGTTATTTGCTCTATAAATACCGTACAGTATTTGCACTATTATTTTGCTTGGTAAACATGTTAACATTTTTGTAAAGAATATTTTAAGAATCTTGTAATGTTTAAATAACATAAGTCGGTATTCAGAGGTGAAAATTAACATATACTGTACTTACCTTTTGTTACGGGGATGGTGCCCATTGTCAAGAGGTAGAACCAATAGAAGCAAGCCAAAGATATGATCATGAAAAACAGGAGAGACGCCTTGACGTGGCCGTAAACTAGATCTGTCATACGCCCCACCAACAGACCGGTCACTCCTTGCACCAACACAGCTGTGAGTCCTACCCACATAGCATTATCCTGAGAGAACAAAATTATATTACATTACTAGCCTTTTGTTTTGAAAGAAAAAAATAGTTCTCGGGTTCTGTATTTATGTCAATTTTGAGTAATGTCATTGAACAATTTCCCTTATGTTATAAAATGAATGCATAACTACCAGTAAATAAACTGTATACAAATACAACACAAAAACTGAAAAGGAGTATTGGAAGTTTATAAAATTTAGAAGATACTGCAAGTACAATGTAACTGAATAGTTGGTTGTCTTAATTTAAGCAGATAATTAACACAAAACTGAAGACATACTTTGACAAATACTACTTTGTGGGATTAACAAATGTGAACCCCTTTGCAGTGAAAACCACTTGTTTGCTTAGAAAGATTATATCCAACTTACAGATACAATTCCTGTTGTCAGGGATGGGTTCAGGTTCAACAGGACACGTACATGTACCAAGCTTCCAAGGAAAAAGAGAGGGTTGTCAGCAAGCCAGGAAGAAACTGGGACCTAATAACGTAGCCAATGAGTTGAGGCAGGCTGGTACTCAAATAAGGCTGGGTGCAGCAATGACGCGAGGTCCGAACCGAAACAGGGCCACACAAGCCACAAACTACACAAATCTCCAGAAATAAGATGAGTCCACCAAAGAACTGAACCCTGGGTATATCTGCCACATAACCAAACTCATTCAATGAAGTGGAGACAGAAAAAATTATCCCCCCTGGAGTAAAATACCTTCTACTAAAGGAATCAAGGTCCAAGAGGGGATGAAGGGCACTCACAGACCCTTCTCAGGCTCTCCTGTAGCCCCCAAAAATCAGCTATGATGGAACCAGGGCAAAGACACATTCCATGCCCAACACCTATGACAGAAAGGCATCATCCAAAAAATGAATCACCGGAGCTGGAAAGCCGTTGCAAACACCGAGGCTCCATATCCCTGGCAGGAAGACAGCTCAGCTGCCTCCACCACACCCCAAACTAAGCCCTGCCTTGACTTCGAAATTTGCAGATGCAGTAAAGCCAGAACCATGGGGGGGGTGGTTCAAAAGCAAGGTGAACCACACCTGTAGCAGAAGGAAGAAGACTTAGCCCAGGTGGAGTTCACTAACAGTTCCAATTCCAGGTCCCTAAACACCATAGGGTTCAACTTTAGGATATCCAAAAGAACACCTGCAGCAAACAATAAATATGAGAAAACTCTGGCCGTAAAGCAGCAGCTGCCTGGCAAGCTTCCTGTCAAGAAACAGGCTCAGATAGATAGTAGACCCAATGCACACACATTGCAGAACTCCAGGTTGACTGATTAACCTAATACCTCTATATATAGACATCATGGTGGAGGCAGAGAGAATGACTGTCGACCAGTAGCAGGGCCAATAAGAACCTTTCAAACACGCATGGCACGAGTGCGAACTCAGCAGTCGATTCAAAACAAGCCACAGCATAGACCCACAGGAAAATTACACTAGTGCAGCCCACGCACCCATATAGAACACCCACAGCAGAGGGCCAACACAGAAGAGTCAAAAACTTGTGCACTGCCCAAAGCTTGGCTCCTGCTCCAGCAGTCAGACTCCCAAGCACACCATGGAAGAAATTCTGTCAGTGCAGGAGCAATGCTAAACAAGTTCCTGGAGAAAAGTCACCCTGAACGTATGTAGCTCGAAGAGTAAATATTGCCAGTTCTGCATGAAATTGCCAAGAAATAAATATGTATATGAAGTAAATACTAAAAGAAAAACAATAAATTAGCAAATGGCCTGTGCAGAAAAAAGTCCGAAGGAAGGCTGGCATTTAGCCGAGAAGCAGTAGGACCCACTGTGATAGTCAATGACCCAAGAAGCACACTACTGGATTCAACCGCATCACTGAAAGGATTGAGGTTTGAACCAGTGGTTGGTTGGGACTGCATGGTGGCAGACATTCGTATTAACCAGCTCAAACTAGTTTCAAGTGATTGTTTGGATTGAATCATTTGTGGAGCTGTTTGGCTGTTTCAGTGCTTTGTTTTCTATAACCCTTGCAGTTGTCTGTAAAGCTTCACTGATTTTATGGATGTTTTCCTAGTGAGGGTGACAATAATTGTTCTCTGTGTCTTGTGCCTCTGTGAAGGGAAGGGGAGGAAGCCAGGTTCTGGCTCTGGTCCCCAGTAGGCCAAACAGGACTCCTGCGACTGATATGACCCAGTAGTGGAGAGCCATCTTGGCGAGACAGCTTCACTGAATCACCAAGTGAGATCCTCCCAGAATAAATACTTAATAAGCTGGTCACCAGGATGCATCCAACCCATGGGTCACTGTTGCCCCTAAATCAACAATAACAATGACTTAATAAAAACGCAACATACCTGATCGATTCCCAGATCATTAAGAGAATAGTTGAGAACAGAGAGCCAGGTCGCAGGTATTGCTATGCAGACGCTGTATGCAATTGTTGTCAGCAATACATTTCGATTTCTGAAAACATGAAGACTCATAAGAATAACAATTACAATCCAATCACAAAAACAAAGCTACAACAAATTCATAAATTACAAATGAAAATTAGATGCTGTTTTGGTACAGTTTGGGCCAACATCACGATGCAAGTCCACGAGTACCAAAATAATACAAAATTTTCTTCTAATTTATGGGCTTGTTGAGCAGAATATTGTCATAACTTGCACTTTATTAATATATATATAGTATATGATAAGACAATACATACACAAATTCTATATTATGGCTCTATTTACATATTTAAAATTTTAACCACATTACAGTACAGTATTTATCTATAAAATGAACCCATAGTAATGAATCATTATTTTCAAATCATATTTCACATTGCTGGGTAAATTTTGTTTCTTTTATAATTAATGTATTTTCTGATCCTTTAGACTCTGAACACTTAATACTAATCAGGATTATTTCCACTACCTTCGCTGTAGCCATTACTCAAAAATGTGAAAACATGACAATTTCTACTTTTCCTTCTTTACATCCAAAGGATTTGCAATCATTTAATAATAGCATTTATGTCAAGCATATTAAATTTCTAAAGGTATTTACATTATAATACCTCATTAACTTCTTTAAACTGGATTTAAAATTCAGTCTTTGCACCGAAGATGTGACGGACGGAGGCGTGGGAGGCTTTGTAGGGAAGTACACCAGGATAGCTATCAGCAATGTCACCCCAACGGCAGCATCTGCAGAGAATAGGCTGTTACGGCAAGTACAGTACTGTTCATATGAACGAAGAATCTATGAACTACATATTGTGAGAATACTGACGTACACGATTACATATGTTGACACAAACACTACCAGTATTGTGTCACATTCTAGCTCAATCAGACAAACTAAAACATGAGAAGAACGAAGGCTAACAGCTCCTACTATACTTAATACTTTTCACTGTATTAATGAATAATTAGCTAAAGCACTATATGTGTTACCAACTGTTGATGAATTTATACAATTTTATCTGTTACAAAAATACTCGATAACATGCAACTTATGTCACTGCTCCGAAAGCCACAATCTGCAGTAGCAAACAGATCTCATATTCTACTGTGGCTCAAAACTACATTTTTTTTGCAATTGGTCCATTAAATAACATTGCAATATTAACTTACAAATGTATAAAAGTGTCTTGATATCACTTTTAATCTGGTCCTTAGTCACACCAGCATTTGGAGACTGGACCAATAGAGGTGCCAGGTAGCTCCCTGCTGTCCCCAGCTGGTTCAAAACTTGCGATACAGCTGTTCAGGAAAATCTATTATGAGGAAATATACATGTCCATAATATCCATTTCAATTCACTTCCCTCATCAATCATGTCTTCAATGTCAAGTGGTAGTCTTGATTTACTGTTAAATGCTGCCACCACCTTCATTGTCAAGTGATCAAATTAAGCATATGGAATTCATGATTTATTAGTATAATGCCAAAAATCACCATTATCTATTGCATCTAAATCAGAAGGTGACAGCTGCTTTAGATGCAATGATGAGGTTACCTGTGGCTGTAGTTCTCTCCTTGGGCGGGAACCACTCTGCTGCAATCATCGGTGGAGCAGACATGATTAGGGTGCCTGCAATTCCGTTCAGTATGGCTGCAATGTGGCACATTCTGTACAGTATTAAAAGTAAAAGTATATTAACTAATACAAGTCAATTCTACATTATACTCAAATACAGTATACAATGCAACAAATTATTCTCAAGCCCAGACAATAGATATATAGTAGTTACATAAAAATGTGCATTGGTTTATACCCAAATTATGAACTTATTGGCACGAGATACAGTACCTAATTCCTACCATACACTTTTGATAACATAACGATAATGGATACATCATCAGTGTACAAATTAACCCACTCTAATATCTCTTGCATATACAGTATTTTATTAATTCTCCTCAAATCCACTGTCTGCTAGAAACATAATATATCAGAATGTTTTAACTTGGTTCATCAATTGATTTGATTTCTCCCTACCACATTATTGCAATTTTTACATTTATCAGAACATACTGTACACATCAACAAATGAAAATCCTGCCACTCATTCACCCTATTTGAGATGGGTCTGTAATAATAAATTCCATAAGATGTGTCTGGAAATATTATTAGATTGCTTCACAAATCCTTGAATTATATGCAACTTAGAGAGACCATAGTTACAGTACCGATATATAAAACTGTCCTTTTCCGTGTTAATCAACTTGATGGCACTTACACTGTGAAGAATTTATCAGAATCTGCCATAAAGGGGAGAATTCTGGCGACTGTTGCACAAGCAACCAGCACAGCACAAGTGACCACACCTACACGCAACCCTTTGGTGCTCATCAGCCAACACATTGGTGCAACGCACGATGCAAACGTTATTGTGCCCCAGTTGGCCATCATGGCCACGGTCCCAGAGCCCCAGCCTTCAAACGCCGCATCAACACTCTCGCTAATAGGACCCCAAATGGACCACTGAACACACTGAAACAAAAGGCTGGTGTAACTCATCATGAGCAGTACAAGTGTTGAGGACTGAAATTTTGCCGAGTACTGCAGAATGTTACCAAGTGGTTTGTAAGATTGCCAAGTACTGTGCACAGTTACAAAGTTATGACATGTTACCGATTACTGTTCATGAGAACTAAGCAATGATTTTTAATAATATGTAATATTTCAGAGAATACTTTAATGTTGTTGAGTACTGTATTGTGCCAGTTTTATTGGCAAATACTGTGTAACTGTTGAGTACTGTGGTTATATTGTTGAGCAATGTGTTATATATGTTGCAGAATACTGATCACAATACAATACCCTATGATTCCTAACTTGCTACAGCTGCTCCTCTCCTTCCTAAGATGGTAGTTTGGCAGGTTACCTTGCAATGATTTTGGGGCTCCACGTCCTTGCGGTCTGGTCCCCGACCAGGCCTCCTGATTGCTGGACTGGTCAACCAGGCTGTTGAACGCAGCTGCTTGCAGTCCGATGTATGAATTACAGCCTGGTTGATAAGGTATCCTTTAGAGGTGTTTATCAAATTCTCTCTTGAACATTGTGAAGGGTCGTCCAGTGATGCCCCTTATGTGTAGTGAAAGCGTGTTGAACAGTCTCAGGCCTCTGATATTGATAAGAGTTCTCTCTCTGAAGTACTGTACCTATTACATTCTGCTTTTCAACGGTGGTGTTCTGCACATCCTGCCATGCCTTCTGGTCTCATGTGATGTTATTTCTGTGTGCAGGTTTGGGACCAGCCCCTCTAATATTTTCCACGTGTAAATTATGATGTATCTCTCCCACCTGCGCTCAAGAGAATACAGATTTAGTCAATTTAGCTGGTCCCAATAGTTTAGATGTTTTACCGAGTGGATTCTAGCAGCAAAGAAGCTCTATACACTTTCCAGGTCAGCAATTTCTCCAGCTTTGAAAGGGGGCTGTCATTGTGCAGCAGTATTCCACTCTAGAGAGCACTAACATCTTGGAAAGTATCATCATTGGTATAGCATCTCTAGTTTGAAAGGTTCTTGTTATCCAACCTGTCATTTTTCTTGCAGTTGTGACGGCTCTTTTATTGTGTTCTTTAAAGGCAAGATCTTCTGACATGAGTACATTCAAATCCTTTACATTGCTTTTTCGTTCTATGGTATGATTTGACTGCATTTTGTAAGTGGTTTCCGTTTCTATATTTTCATTTTTCCGTAGCGCAGGAGCTTGAACTTATCTTCATTAAATACCATCTTATTTTCTGTAGCCCATTGAAAGACCTGATTTACATCTGATTGGAGGTTTGCTGTGTCCTCTATGTTGACTACTCTCATAAAAATCATCACCAGCAAAAGATGATACGGTACTATAGTTTGTGTCCTTGTCTATGTCCGATATGAGGATGAGAAAAAGTACTGGAGTAAGCACAGTACCCTGGGGACTGAGCGCTTCACAGTTGATGGTCCAGATTTTATTTTGTGACTATTACACATTAGGTTCTGTTAGTCAGGATATTGTAGATCCATCTGCCTATTTTTCTGGTAATTCCTTTTGAATGCATTTTGTGTGCAATAACACCATGGTCACATTTGTTGAAGGCTTTTGCAAGATCTGTGTAAATTACATCAGCGTTTTGCTTGTCTTCCATAGCATATAAGGCCATGTCATAGTGGTCCAGCAACTGTGATAGGCAAGAGCGCTCTGTTCTGAAACCATGTTTTCCAGGGTTATGGAGTTGCTGTGATTCCATGTATTTTGAGATCTTACTTCTTGGCACTCTTTTCAAAGATTTTTATGATGTGTGATGTTAAAATCTTTGCTAAAATCTGTGCTATCAGTCTGTAATTTTTGGCCTCTGCCTTATTTCCTCCGTTATGGAGTGATGCAATCTCTGCTGTTTTTATGATATCAGGATAATGCCAGTATCTAGGCTCTGTCTCCAAAGAATGTCAAGGCGAGTCTTTTATAGTTCTTGATGAATATAGGATTCCAAGAATCAGGGCCTGGTGCAGAGTGCATAGGCATACTTTCTATTGCTTCTTCAAAGTGCAGTGGGGATAGGGTGACATCTGATACATGATTTGATGTTTGTATCACATCCATGAAAAATTCCTTTGGGTGATCAATCTTCAGTGTGTTTAGTGGCTCGCTGAAAACAGAGTCGTACTGATTCCTTAGTATTTCGCTCATTTCTTTGTTGTCATCTGTGAAAGTTCCATCTCCCTTTCCCAGGGGGCCTGATACTAGATGTAGGTTTTTATCTTGATTTGGCAGACATTATTTATTTAACATACAATGCACAGCAAAATATATCCCATTCGTCCGTCCGTCCATCTACCCCATCCCTCCATCCATCAATCCACTCGTCCACTCACTCACCCACCCACCCATCCATCCACTCATTCATTTATTTACTCATTCACTAATTCATTCATCCATCCATCCATCCACCCATCCATTCATCCATCCATCCATCCATTCATTCAACCATCCATCCATCTATCCAGCCAGCCCGCCCACCCTCCCTCTCTCTCCCCACATTTTAGGTATTATCCCCAGTTTCTTCTCTTGCACACTTTATCGGCACACTTTTACCACCCTTTTATTTTCGACAAGATGCGCACAGTTATAATGCCATGGGGCTAACGTCCTGTACCCTATTGAACCTACTAGAGACTGTTGCCATGAGAAAAATTAAGATATTTCTAGTTTAGGAAATGGTACAACACCTGTATAAAAAACTAACCTGGAACCATGCCAAAAACGAAAATACTCCCAGAATCCAGAAACGGCTCGGGTAAACCTTCTGTCCACCCTTGTTTGCACTACTGTCTCCTGAAAATTAAATTTATTTCTGTATCAATACTGTATCAAGTAAATAAAATGGTCCACAGGATAGATGCCTACACCTATAGATAACTTTTTTTTATCAGAAAAAATGTATACAGAGCTGTCAAGCACACCCAACTCTCAGCTCACAAATAGTAATATATAACAATTCAACAATCACATCAAAGCAGCAACTCTGCCTGTACATTCATGGACTGAGATTATACAAGCCATTCCACGTGTACACAGGTAGAGAGAACGTCACTGAAACTAGTCACTTAATTGGAGCGAAATGTTCCAATCTGCAACAACTTACTACAGTATAGCTATGCATGCTGATATTTCAGAAATACCTCACAGTTAACAGTTGAAACCAAATGGTGAATATTTAAAATACGTATACAGTGGAACCTCAAGTAACAAGCGCCTCAATCTATGAACATCTCGAATAACGAGCGTGCCACTCGGTGAAAATTTTGTCTTGATTGACCAGCTTTCGCTTGATTAACAAGAAAACCATTTGGCGCTTCCTAGCGTTCCCGCTAGTTCTAGCAAATACTCGGACACCTCCGACGATACAAATAATTTTTTTTTAAGATGCTAATGATATTGGGATGTAAAGGAGTGACTGCTGTAATGTTGCAAAGCACTAATTTTTTTTTTTAGACAAAATTAGAAAAAAAATGAAAAAATTTGAAAAAAGAAAAATGTCATAAAGGTTCGTTCAGTGAATGTCAGGTAGGCTGCTCCATTTTCTAAAAAAAAAAATTGAAAAAAATTGAAACAAGACAAATGTCATAACGGATCATTCGTCAGGTAGGCTGCTCCATTATTTAAAAAATCTAATATTATATTGATGTTTTTCGGTGGTGGAACAAAATATTTTTACTTCCATTATTTTAAATGGGAAATTCGTTTTGAAAGATAAGCATTTCACATGACGAGCTCGGTGCCGAAACGGATTAAATTCGTTAATCGAGGCTCCACTGTTCTGCATATGGAACCTATAAATGAAATTTTACAAAACATGTTAGTTATCGCACATAAAACTGGCAAGTATTTTAACAACTAGGAAATTCTTCAAACATTAATTGAAGAATTTTATCAGTTAAATTATCCCAAATGTTAACTATCAAATATAGATCAAATTTAAACAATACAAGAACTAGAGACGAAAGTTATCTAAAGAATTTCCACCGATTTTCAGAACTTTATTGTTAAGTTTATTAAAATGACAATACACTGTCACATTACAATATTACACACCTATCCTCATCTCATGAATTATTGTGGCACATTATTGCTTTCATTAAACCAAGAGTCTGTCAACAATAAAATGCATGCTGTAACAAGATGAGAAATATTATTATCACCGAATACCATGATTTGAAAGTGACATCAAATGAGTAATGACAAGTTAGAAATTGATGCAAGAAAAAAATTATTAATTTAAAAGAAAATATATATTGAAACCAAATCATAACCTTTCTAGATTATGTAGTTGTAACATTACAACAAAATGAAGTAATAAAAGATAACGTGTTAGTACTAGTTATCCTAATTATATAATTATTGCACTATGTAAAGAATTAACATCTTGCTTCACACCAGTTTCTTTTATAAACAAAATAAACTTCAATATGATACAATAAAGAAAATTTGTTACCAAATAATAATGGCAAAATAGAGTACTTTTAGAAGCTTCAGTATGGAAGCTGATCAGAATTACATTTCACCTTTGTAAATGCACATTAATGACACTGTAAAAGACACATCGAGCACTTTATGTAAGGCAGACATAAATCTGTGTATCTGTGTATTTACGTATGTAGGTTAGCTTAGCATTTTAAAAGCACTACAATCACCTTCTGTGGTTGATTGTTCAATAAATCCCTGAACTATATGTTTAATAGATCTCTAACCCTGTCCATGGAGGACAGAAGAAAATGTTTATACCCTGGTTAGCACTGTAAATGTGTGGCCACATCTGTGGCAGAAAATAATAAAAAAAAAATAAAAAATAAAAAAATAATACTTTTAGAAAAAAAGACAAGTACTCACGCCCTCTACTACATGTTGGCACTATCTTCTTTATGACTTCCAATATTTTCTTAGTGTACATATTACAACAGATTATATTAATAAATTTCAAGAGCAATGCAGGAGCAGAAGGTTTAAGTCTTCCCAGAAGACTCTGTTGGGAACCTTGTCTTGCATTAAGGTGGCGGTTTCTCCACCACCACCGTTTCCAATTTCTGGTGCATTCTTCCATCTTAAGCTGTGGAAAGCAAATTAGTAACAGTACAGTATTTGACTTTTTAATGTAGTCGAGTCACAATCCCACTTTCCGATCTTCATCTGGTCTGGCCGTTCATTAATTAGTTTTCATTCCGACTCCAACTCCAACCTCACCCCCACTCAACCCAAACAGGTGCACTTGTCTCCAAAATGCCATGCCTGGTGTTTTGTCTCCAAAATGCCATGCCAGGTGTTTTGTCTCCAAAATGCCATGCCAGGTGTTTTGTCTATAAAATGCCATGGCAGGTGTTTTGTCTATAAAATGCCATGCCAGGTGTTTTGTCTATAAAATGCCATGCCAGGTGTTTTGTCTCCAAAATGCCATGGCAGGTGTTTTGTCTCCAAAATGCCATGCCAGGTGTTTTGTCTCCAAAATGCCATGCCAGGTGTTTTGTCTCCAAAATGCCATGGCAGGTGTTTTGTCTCCAAAATGCCATGGCAGGTGTTTTGTCTCCAAAATGCCATGGCAGGTGTTTTGTCTCCAAAATGCCATGGCAGGTGTTTTGTCTCCAAAATGCCATGGCAGGTGTTTTGTCTCCAAAATGCCATGTCAGGTGTTTTGTCTCCAAAATGCCATGGCAGGTGTTTTGTCTCCAAAATGCCATGGCAGGTGTTTTGTCTCCAAAATGCCATGGCAGGTGTTTTGTCTCCAAAATGCCATGGCAGGTGTTTTGTCTCCAAAATGCCATGGCAGGTGTTTTGTCTCCAAAATGCCATGCCAGGTGTTTTGTCTCCAAAATGCCATGCCAGGTGTTTTGTCTCCAAAATGCCATACCAGGTGTTTTGTCATCTGGCCACATCTAAACAACTGATCCAACTTCCTTGTGTTTGTAGTATAAACAAAACTGTTAAGATTGTCTTCCCTTCCACACTGCTTTATATACATTTTTTTTAAAAACATCTAACATTGAGAAACTTATTACAATGCCATAATGCTTGAATAAAGGTGAAGAAAAGACCCAGTATATGTGTACTTGTGCTAAAAGAAAAATTTTCAGATGTAACCTAAATCCCCTCCCAAGGTACAGTACTTTATATGATGTTCTGCCAATGCAATGCAAAACACTGTAGACAGTACCTTGAGAAAAGCTGTAGGTTACATCCAAAAATTTGGTTTTGAATAAACTTACACATATATTGGGTCTTTCTTTCACCTTCATACCTAACATTCTCTCTCCCATGGCTTAAAAATGTAAAGACAGTAATGTGTTAGCCAAGGCTTCAACTAGCAGTAATCCAAAGAATACATGTTGTGATGGTTTATAAGGAAAATATATCTGGCATTAGCCTGCGTGTGTACAAGAAATGCCAAGTGACCAAACCCTCTCTATTTTTTTTTATATCTTGAAGGCAAAATATACAAACTTTGCCAGTTATAGTCAAAGGTACAACAGTGGGGAAGAGAATAGTAGTGAGCCAGGCTAAAATTAATGATATTGGTGGAAGCAAATTTGAGAGGAGATAAAGATATGGCCAAGTGCTTCCATAAGTAAATGCACATTAGTAAGAACAGTAAATATTGCTGTTGATTGGTTAAGACACTAAAAACTGCCATGATATATAGTGTATTAACACATTTGAGGGTAATTTATTTTGTCAGGGACAGGCAGCCTGTGTATATATATATACTTTAGGCTTGTATTGAGGCTCCCCCCCCCACCTCAATGTTAAACTACTGACCTTCACCAGAATGTAACCCCACAACAGTTGTCTAACTCTGGGGTATCCATTTACTGCTAGGTGAACAGCAATATTAGGTAAAAGGAAACAAGCCAAATCATTTCTATCCAGCCCAAGATTTAAATCTGGGATTCCCAATTGTGAGTCAAGAATTAACTCTGCTATACTAATGAGAAATGTGCAGACAAGTATCTTTCCAAATTTGAGGTGACCGTGCAGGAAAAAATCTTTATCTCCTGAACTAGTTTATAACATTAAAGAAACAAGCTATTACTGGTGCCAGCTGCATGTATACACTCACACTCATGATAGTAAAAGTACTTTATGTACTTGCCAAGTAAAGAGATGGTCACTATGCTATGCCAATAAAACTGGTAAGCATAAATTAAAATTCTGTTGAATGGAAAATGTTTCAAGCCAAGGGCTATGATTCACACAGCTCAGCGTAATACAGTGGTACCCAACCTGGGATCCCCGAACCTCTGGAGGTCCCTGAAGGTAGTACTGGAGGTCCCTGAGGTAGTACTGGGGGTTCACAAAGGTAATGCTGGGATCCACAAAGAGAGTACTGGGAGTTCACAATGGCAGTACTGGGGGTCCACAAGCTAAATTTAAAATTTATAGAGGTTCCAGCACATACTGTAATGTACAATTACAGTGGAATCTCAGATGACGAATGCCCCCCTTTACGAATTTTTCTGTTTACGAGCTCAATTTCTTCTTAAACTTCGACTCGGTATACGAGTTTTTCCTCGCTTGGCATTTGTTGATACACGTATGGGTAGACCGAGTGCGTGGTTCCAGGTGGCACTGGCGAGGCACGCTTCAGTTTACCAGTGTCTCCCGCCTAGTGATGATTGCGCTTGAATTTTTTATGAAGATTTTAATTGTTTTTGTGCTTTTTTGGTTTCTGAACATGAAAGTAATTATTATATATCATGTCATGGGTCCCAAGAAAGTCAGTGGTAAAGTTCAACCTAAGAAAATAGTTGTGAGTAGAGGCAGTAGAGGATATCTGTTCCTCATTAAGAAAATATGTGAAGTATGGGAAGAACTGCAAAGTTTTGCTGAAAAGACTCACCCAGATAAAGCTGTAGCAGGTCACTGCATTGACCTTTTTAATGACAATGTGATGTCTTACTACAGACAAATGATAAAATGTAGGGAAAAACAAGTGTCTTTAGACAGATTCTTAGCAAGACAAGCAGTGAGCCACAACCAGGTCCTAGTGGTATGCCTGCAAAATGTAGGAGAGTTTGTTCTTTTGTAGGAGAGAGAGTACCCTATAAAGTCATCACTGCTTGATGTTATAACGGAAGGGGGACTCCCCTTCCAAATACTAACCCCTTCTCCTCCTCATCATCATCCATACGCCAACAAGAGTCCTCATTAGAGGTAAGATATACTTGAGCATACTGTAGTACAAAATATAAGTACAGCAGTAGTATGTATAAAATGTATTTTTAAGTTAATATTTCAGGGGGTTTGGAATGGATTAATTCAATTTACATTATTTCTTATGGGAAAATTTGTTTTGGTTTATGAATTTTCGGTTTACAAACCATCTCTGCGAACGGATTAAATTAGAAAATAAATCGAGGCTACAGGTGGCCTCAATGAGGACAGGAAGCCGGCAGCTTGTCTAAGGCCCCCCCCCCCCCATTTGTACTGATGATTATATCGAGTTGTATTTAAAAAATAAGCAGTGTTTTGGCATTTATGGCTTGGCAGGTTGACAGTTCCACGAGTTTATAACCCTATGGGTGAAAAAGCATCTCCCATTTTCTGTCCTACATTGTGGTTTTTTGGTCTTGAAACTGTTACTCCTACTTGGTGTTACATCTGACCTTTTGAAAAAATTTGGCTGGGTTAAAATCCTCCAAATTGTTCAGTAATGTACTGTACTGTATTTAAAAAGTTTTGATGACAAGAAGTTATTGTTGATTTTGATTTAATGGTTAACAGGTATAAAGACTGTGTGAATGCTATCTTATAGCTACTGGAACATAAAAATCTAATGGAAATTCTTAAAATAAATGCTTACCTAAAGATGCTTCTTCTTGTTGGGATTTAAAGGCTTCTTATCTTGAGGTTATCTCGAGATGATTTCGGGGCTTAGCGTCCCCACGGCCCGGGCCTCGACCAGGCCTCCTTTTTGTTACACACCCCCAGGAAGCAGCCCGTAGCAGCTGTCTAACTCCCAGGTACCTAATTTACTGATGCGTGAACAGGAGCATCAGGGTGAAAGAAACTCTGCCCATTTGTTTCCGCCTCCACCGGGAATCAAACCCAGGACACTAGGACTACAAATCCCGAGCGTTGTCTACTCAGCTGTCAGGCCTCCTCAAACTAAACCCACACTGAGCCCTGTCCTACAGTTTGCTGGCAAAATTTATTACCTGGCCGTGGAAATCAGTTAACTACACCATTTAGCAAAGTCTGGAGACCCCCGGCTACTCTGGACCCTCACCCGGCACAGATGACAGACTTTTAAGACCGTGTATTTGGTGCAGTCATCGGGAGGACAAGCCCTTCATACAAACTGCACCTACTATCAAGAAGAGAAGAAGACCGTGTATCGACAGTGATCCCAGACGATATATACGTCAGGTGGCCTTGATAACACAAGGAAGACGAATCAAATATTTAGCCTTAAGAGTTGAACACCCTGGCAATCCTTGACATGTACCAAAAACTAATTCTTGACCGGACAAAAAAATCAAACGTCTCTATCCATCAAAATGCCAATCCCGAAAATGCAAAAGAACCCTATCGCCTTCCCTTTTGGGCGTAAGTGATATGTGTGCCAGACGTCGTATGAATATAATCTGTTGATGAGGGATGCCCTGCAACAGTGTCGAAACCAAATAGATAAAATTCGTGACCAGAGAAGCAGCAGAGGTCCAGCCAACAGCTGACGCCGGTTGTGTTTACAAACAACTCAAACTTCATAGCGAACTGAAGGTCTTGTAAAAGATAATACTATTATTTCTATTATTATTATTATTATTATTTGTATTAATAATAATAATAATGCTAATGATAATTATAATGATAATTATAATGATAATGATAATGATGATAATGATGAGATAATGATAATAATGATAATAATGATAATAAAATATAATAATAATATTTTATTTATACAAAATTACAGAGGATTTGTTTATAGTTATTATACTGTTGTTTAAGATTCGCTACTAGGAACAAAAAGTTCCAACTAGAACGGGCAATGGTGAGCCCGTAGATTTATTATACAGAAAGTCCTGGTAGAACGTTCTTGACTCAGAATCGAGTATTCCGGGTTCAAATCCCGGGTGGGACAGAAATGGTTGGGCGCATTTCCTATCGCCTAACGCCTCTGTTCACCTAGCATTAAATAAGTACCCAGGAACACATATTTCAGACAGTATAAAGTGCAATGCTCTCGTGAATGTTTCTGTTTTTGGCTATACACTACATCATTTCATGTTCATCTTGATCTCTATAGAAATCAGAGATACTTGTAGCCAAGTCGCACTTAAGCTGAGACAATGGATCTATAAATTTCCGTTTGCAAACCATTTGTTGTATTCTAATTCATACATGTGAGTTGTTGTATAGATACTGCCTTACCCAATGTTGCACTCTCCTCGTCCAAAAGGTTCCTCCAGCTTGTGAAGTAGTCTCTTATGAGGTAACATATGGACTTTCTCACTGTGCAAAAATATCCATCTACCATGCATGATGAATGTGGTGCTGTCAAAAAAACTCTGTCGGGTTGGGAGGCAAGACTCGCCGTTCCTGATCAAATGCTGATTTTACAGGATTGTGCATGAAATATATGAAAGGGACACTGGTATATAGCTCAGCAATTCATGTCTCCCTGTTTTAATATTGCAATATAATGGCTGTCTTCCAACCTTCTGGTAGTTCCCCTTCTTCCCAGTGATATTGTATATATATTAGCATATAGTCATCACAGGGGTATCAGCTGCGTTACATAATATCCATGGTGAGATCATATCTGGTATCATAGACTTTGTCATGTCCAGCTCCAGCTCCACACCTGACCAACACACACATGTTCACCACATACCTGGCTCGTCCATAGCGAGGGGATGAAAGTTGGTGATCGTTAGGGGTGTGGGGGAGCCACGGCGCAGATATTGAGTCTGTGGAAATCCAAATAAGGTATTTAAGAGAAATTAAAAAGCATTTTCCAACTGATTGCTAGAAAACACACATACACACACGCACACGCACACACTCACACACATAATAATTATTGCTAAAAACACGAAAGGTTCCACTACAAGAAGTTTTCAACACGGAACAGAACATTTCCGTCAACTTCAAGTTTCTTAAATTCGCTCATCAAAACATTGCACCAAATCCTTTTACAAAAATGCTCCTGCTTGGGTGTTGAGTTGCGACCCCGCGAGTGCGACTCAACCCCATGAGTACGACTCAACCCCTAGAGAGTGACTCAACCCCAAGAGTACGACTCAACCCCTAGAGAGTGACTCAACCCCAAGAGTACGACTCAACCCCTAGAGAGTGACTCAACCCCAAGAGTACGACTCAACCCCAAGAGTACGACTCAACCCCTAGAATGTGACTCAACCCCAAGAGTACGACAATGTGACTCAACCCCAAGAGTACGACTCAACCCCTAGAGAGTGACTCAACCCCAAGAGTACGACTCAACCCCTAGAGAGTGACTCAACCCCAAGAGTACGACTCAACCCCTAGAAACGACTCAACCCCTAGAGTGTGACTCAACCCCATGTACTCACTTACTCAACCCCTAGAATGTGACTCAACCCCAGAGTAATAGGAGTACGACTCAACCAAAAATGCCCTAAATTGTGGAATAACTTCGGAAATTACATTAAAAGCTATAGTTTCCTCCCATCTAATTTAAAAGAGAAACAAAGAAATACATATATCTTCATCATGTAATAAATCTCTCACAATTCTTCATGCTAAATGTAATCCTGTTTTTGCTGTTATTAGGAACATTTAATACCATATATATGTATTGTTTCTAAAATTACAGATTCTTTAATAATGTAGCCTATGCCTTTCATCATTAGGTATCACTTAAAATTGTATATTTGCTAAGTTTCTTTAACATTTCATTTATAATGGAAGGTTTCTTCTCATTTAGCACTGTTACCCTATTAAACTTGTAAAGTCCTGTATCTAAGATATGTTAAGATATTCCCGAAACGTTTTGTATATTAGTGGCTCAAATGTGTAATATTTAATTTATGTACCTACTAGATATAATAAATAATCAGCACCAAGCAAATTCTCGGAAAGCAGACAAGAGAGTTCAAGATGCGCCAATAAGTTGGATACACTCATCAAACTCAGAGGAAATCTTCAAATCCTACGACATTGATACTTTCAACCTACACCTCATTGATTCAAATTATTTCAAGCTCCATCTACCCTGGACGACACCCTCGAACTAAACGACTTTTTATGCGCAAGAAGAAAAGGCAAGACAGCACCGAGAAGCATATGAAGAAAGGCAACGAAAATCAGATAAAGAAAGAAATCGAAGATCAAGAAGATAATTTCATGAAGACAGAAGACAGAAGCCTAGTTTAACTATCATCAACTGCCAGCTGCTTGTGAGCCCAGTTCTGTGAGAGCATCCATGAGAATTCCACCAACCCACAGCGTCAGCTGCAAGCCATATCCACGGTGGTGGGACCATTGATCTTTTTTTTTTCTCCCCTCTTCGAATTGTCTCCAGCTCCTAGCTCAATATTTCTACATCCTCGCCCCGGCCTTCCATCTCCTTACCTGCTCTAGGGGTCCTTGGAACTTGGAATCTACTAATAAACAGTAGCATGTGCCAATATATATACTGTATACATAATAATAATAATGATAACAATAATCTTATTTCCAAGAAGGTACATTAGGTTGGTGAGTTTACATAAGATTGGTATTTTTTACATTCTTGACAAGCCACTAGCACGGATAGCGTTTCGGGCAGTTATTATAAGAAGGGACTTAATGTTTGGACTGAGAGTACTCACCCAGCTGAAGATGGCTGAGGCCAGGAGGAGAGATTCTGACTGACCTTCCCACACCGGGAGACTGTGAGCTGCAACCCCAACTGATCAACCCTAATTTGTCACAATCAGCGACACCTGGCAGTTGCCATTACCATGTGTCTCTACTGCTCTTCTCCTTCATAAGTCCTCGCGATATCTGACATAATCAATGTTCCCGAGATGTTATGATGTATATTGAATCAGTAAATAGTGTCGTTGAAGAGATGGTATCATCGTATGATTGCCTGCCGCCAGTTTATGTGGAAGATTGCAGCTGTCGAGGCTTCAAATTATACCTTAATCTCTACTGTGTCTACTCACACCCATCCTGTGAGTGGCTGTGGAATAGTTTACAGAGGCAAATAATGGGCTCAAGAACTGAACCCCAAAATTCGTTGGGCTAATATCAAGTTACAGTTTACTGAGCTAGTTACAGTTAACACGTAAATCAAGTCTATTCGCAGTTCATCAAACTAACACCATCATGAGGCTAAAATTACCTAACACAATGAGTGATACTTTTAGTTTAATTACTGTATTATATAATATTAATAATAATATTATTATTATGCTTCCCGTACCCACCATGCTGGTAAGTGCCAGAAAGATTTCATGTCACATTATGGGTTCAAAACTTCAAGTATTTGAAGTTGAGCAAACATACGTAGCTAATCACTTGAGCATATTTACCAGGTAATTAATCGGTCCTCAGTCATGACTGGCTATACGTGGCGATCCTTATAATCCATGTATATGGCGTCAGCATCCACTGCCAATTTACTCGTTCCAAATACTAGAAAACACTGTATAGTCCCTCTAACTTCTGTGGGCATTCAACAGCAATATATATTTCCTCCCATTATTATTATTTTTGTGCTCAGTAGTTATATATAGCTATAAATTATCATCAACTTTATTGATAAGAATCAGATATGCTGTTTTCAAGGCAATAACACTTCACAATATCAGTTGTGATATTGAAACATTATCGATATGTATATGTATTTGTATAAATGATTGTATATATGTGTACATGTATATATATATATAACATTAACAATTGTTTAACTAGCTTCAAAAGATTGTCACTTGCTTATAGAAATAAGGAAATAAGTAGTGTACCACATCAAATTGTTTGGATGTGTGATAATGATATGATAGACAGTATACTTAGGAGCTACAAGAATTTTGTCCCAAGAGTCTAACACTTATATGCTGTCCTTACTATATTAACCTGCAATGTTAAATGGGATTCTTGTATTGTGATTTGTGTATTTGTACTCACTGAATTTGTGCGCCCCTTGAGGGACTTGAAGTAGAGGGGGTAGAAATAGCCTAAGCTACTCTATCCCTTTGAGATGTATTTTTTCTTGTCTCAATAAACAACTTGAACTTAGCTAAACGAACTATGGGGTTCAGTTCCTGAACCGATTATTTGCCTCCGTACCCACCATACCCACCCCCGCCCACGGGATGGGTATGGGGTGCATAATAAAGAAAGAAATTGAATTGAGGAAATATGTTAAAAGCTCTTGGCAGCGTTGGTGAGGAAAATACCACGTGAGAATTTTATGGACAATAACATTAGGCTCATAAAACCTATATAGCGATTTCATCAACGATTGAGAAGCCTCTTTTGAATAAAACAGTATCCACAATAAAGTTTTCTTAGCATATATCGTGTTTTTTCAGCAATTAGACTGATTCGGGTGTTGATAAGCTGTCATGATTTTTGATAAAGAATATTGTTTTATGAAGAGAATATATTGTGAAGAAGGAATGTCGTGTAAACACAAGCAGATGTGACATTTATTTACATAAATTAATATTTATGTAAATAAATGTCTATATTACTGGAACCGGCTAATACAGTAATTAAATTCATATATAATATATGTATGCAAGAGGGTATGATGATACAAGAATGCAAGAACTCTTGTCTAGGCGTTGGTAGAGAAGCAAAGTTTGCAGAATTTACAGCATGAGTGAAGGAAATCGTCTTGACCACTATCTGAGATATTGCGCCCATCTATGAGACATTAGAAATATGTGTATTACAATAAGATCCACATTGCTTGACCTAGGAAAACCCTTTTTTTTAAAGATAGATATTGTCGTTAAAGAGAGTCCTCTCTCTACTTTGCACCTGCACCTTTGCATAACATAAACTTGAGGGTAGTCAGTTCACTTTGAGACAGTTAAGCAAGTCCCAGCTGTGTCAAGTTCAAGTATGTTTATTGAGACAAGAAAAAAAATACGTCTCAAAGGGATAGAGTAGCTTAGGCTATTTCTACCCCTAAGCTGTGTCTGGGTGCAAGTGATAGGATGAATAACCCAGCGGGTTTTCTTCATATTGGACTGACTTCCCACAATTCATTTAGCTAAACAAGTTACAGTCTTGATGAGCTAGTTACAAATTTGAATGCACATCGTCACATCAACAATGGACTCTAGAACGACCACAAGTACAGTTTCTAAATTAAGCAACTGACATATGTGGAGAGCTAAGTGTCACAATTGATATGTTTGTCCTGCACACCGCCCCCCATCCAGTGGGCAGTGGTGGATAGGTTACAATCACTTAGTTACTTCCTAGTTAGCAAACTGGGGATATTTGGCTAAGATTTCTGGTAACAGATCATTTTAAATGTGTAAAGTTATATAGGCATTTTTGCACGTATGGAATTATGTGTAATTAAAATATATTAAGCAAATCTAATAATTAAGGAATGGCTAGAAACTGTGTACTTAGTTGAGAGGTTTATAAACATTTACTGACTCTGAAGGCCCACACCCACATCTGGACCCCATACAAACGCATGTGAAAAATCATGTGACCACGTGTCTACAGTCCTTGTTAAGCACCACCCACACAGGCTGTTAACGCCAGCCAATCACATTTCTCGCAGTGTTAATGACGTCACTAGCCCCCGCCCACTAATGACGTCACTGACCCGCCCACTGATGATGCCATAAGCAGAGCCAATACAACATCAGTTCTTATGCCGTGCTGTTGCTCCCATATTAAATAGATGGCGGCGGCACCCTAGTCCACTTGGGGGGTCCCCGACCGTCCAAGTGATTGGGCACCACCATTCCTTCCCCGCGTCCCATCCCAAATTCTTATCCTGACCCCTTCCCAAGTATTCTATTGTTGGAGCTTTCTTCTGATAATTCCGTCCCTCCCTCCCTGGTGAGACTCCCTCCCTCTCCCTCACACACTCCCAAAAACTCAACCCTTACTTAGGCCTTGCACTTAATTCACTACTAAATATACCAGTCTCCGTGGTGTAGTGGTAAGACAGTCGCCTGGCGTTCCGCGAGCGCTTTGTCATGGGTTCGTATCCTGGCCGGGGAGGATTTACTGGGCGCAAATCCTTAAATGTAGCCTCTATTTAACTCAACAGTAAAATGGGTACTTGGTTGTAACAACGATTCTTCGCGGCGAGGATCGTATTCCAGGGACCTGCCCGAAACGCTACGCGTACTAGTGGCTGTACAAGAATGTAACAACTCTTGTATACATTCTCGAAAAAAAAAAACATTCACTTTGACATTTGAGGACACAATTAAGTGAGCAATTTGGTGAGCACAGTACCTATGTACACAATTTTTTTTTCTAGGACTAGGACAGACGTCCAAAGGACACAACATGATTTTTTTGGAGGAGTAAAACACTCCATATTTAGTACATACACTCCATCCATAGTAGCTATAGAGAGGATGGCTGTTAAGATCTCACTCGTGCAATGTTTATCATTAAGTACAATCAGTGCAACACCCAACACTGCCCTCACACGAGAGAAACAACAAATACGGGCAGTCAGTTCACAGCCGGAAGGTCATGCATTCAATTTCCAAGCAGATGCGGAAACGTTTGGGCACGTTACCTTTCATCTGATGCCACTGTTCCATCCCCTAGCAGTGAATAGATACCAGTACCCGGGAGTTAAGCAACTGTGGGTTACATCTTGGAGAAGCTAATGCCAGCCCGTCCTCTCGAGTGTTCACAACGTCACTAAAATGATGTACTAAGTTGCCCGAACCTTACCTAACTGAGGACCCACGAATAGATAACTAAACAGCCCGTTAATTTTGCGACCCGCTAATTTTTAGTAGAATTCTTTTGACCGTTGGGGATTTATACGTCAAAATACGACGTATTATTTGAGAGGACATGTAGCTAGGCTCGATAGGCCTAACAGGCTCCATGTCCCTTAGAATGGGTAGCCAAGAATAGTCTCCATGGAAATCGTACCCTGATGGCTTAGCTAAACTTTACCCAGGCAGTTAATAAATTCCCCGAAATGCTGTGCATATCAGTGGCATTAGGCATAGTATGTACTAGCTCTATCTGGAAATCCAACAATCTGTTTGTAACTCATCTTGTATGTACTCTAACCTGAACAAACATTATTTTTTCTAACTGTCATCACAATAAAAATCCTTCCCTGACAGCTGCTGTTCGACATAACCAGAGATCATCACATTGAAGTTGAACAACAACTTAAATATTTTCGAATCTTGACATACTCACCGGCATTGTAACACGCTACACTGATGGGCACCAGACAAAATATTATCAATGACAAAAGTCTCCAAACTTCTGGCGGTGAGTCTGTTGCCCCCACCGGCCCACTCACACAACCTGGCACATACTATAGCCGCCACGAATCTCAAAAATATAACGTCGCCATGGGTTCGTTTAGTCATCATTATGAGGAAGTAGTAAGGTGGCCAGTATGAGGAGTCATGCCTGAACCGTGCTTGTGGGCCCAGCGCCACAAACAAGCCACCCACCATGGAAGCAAACACGAGAAGAGACACACTTTCAAGCTCAACAAGACACAACTGCGGACAGAAAAAAAAACATAGGGTTATAACCCCGTGGAACCGCCTACCCGCCGAAGCCGTGAATGCCAAGGCATTACTGCAACTCAAAATCCGATTGGAAAATCCCCCAGGAACAATGGGGAGCCAATTAACACCGGATATTAACACCTGAGTAAACACTGGTTCGGTAACAGGGTTACCGGGCGAACCCGGTAACAGGGTTACCGAACCAGGGATTTGTGGAACCAATTACCGCGTAATGTGGTGGAGGTGGGGTCCCTTGATTGTTTCAAACGTGG